GCGAGACCTTCAGGCAAGTACGAGGGAGTTCTCAAATAAATCACAGCTCCGAGCTCCTCTCCCAGCTGGATTTCTCTGGGATAGACAGTAGTAAAAACAAGCAGCGCTTTCGAGGGCGCTCGCATGCATGGGACGATGCACGACCCGAGGTCAGGCCTGGGATGTGGGAGCTCTGGACTCTGACATGAGCTTCTTGGGTGTCCTGGGGAAGTCACGTAGCGCCGGCACTTCGGTTCCTCCGAGGAAAGCCAGAGTCTCAGGACTTCTCTTGCCTGACTCCTCCGTTTAGAGCAGCGGCAAATAACTGATAGATCTGGCCTGAGACTAGCCTTGCCTGGAGCTGGCAGTCGTGAGGTTTTGCGTTTTGCTGTAGCTAACTTGTGAAGGAGGATGTAAAAATAGGATCTGATCGGCTTTATTAAAGCAACATGAGGTGTTGTGCTACCACAGCGGTATTACCTGAATTCCAAAATACCAGCTTGGGAATGAAATAGCCAAGCAAATGGAGCCTGCTATATCCTTGATGTAAAATCCGTACGGTCTTGGGGAGTGTACAGCCCGAAACAAGGCTGCATACAAAGCTACGTCCTCTCCGTTAGTTCTGCTATGGGACCAGTCAGAATAGTATGCATGTTTCATAGTAACATCTCGGGAGCGTGCAGCTGAGGACGAGGAGGAACTAATGCTAACCCTTTTTTTTTTACGGTGTTTTTATCACCTTCCGAAGTTATACACACAAATCTTTTGAATGCTAATGAAGAAGTGACACGTTATTTGTAATACCCATAAAATATATAAAAGATATGCAGTGCTGGACATAGGGGAAATATCCTCCCTCTTCTCTTGCATAATCCCCCTCTCCTTCATGTTGCAACAAACATGCACGTGGGTTTCCAAGAACTGGTTGTGTGAGCATTGGATTACAGCACATTCAGACCTACATTTGATCCTGCAAAGACATTGATTCTTAAGTAAGGGACTAGGTCTGTTGAACCCAGGTTCGTGGATGTGCTATGTTCAGAGGAAGGCATTATTGCTAACAGGAAAAAGGGATTTTTTGTTTAACCTTGAACAACTGAGGAAGAGTGGGTTATTATTTGATACATAACAGTAGTGTACATCTGTTGAGAACAATGGGCTGGCACAGTTGGAAAAAAATGGAAATTTTTATGTTTGTAAAATAATAGACAATGTTACCTTTGCTTCAGACCTCTCTAGGGCTTTTAGTCATTCTTTACAGCTCCAACATCCCTACTGCTTTTAAGAGGGTCAGTCACATAACGTACACGTAGCAGTAACACAAATCTCATGGCTAATAAGCAAGAGCATTTCAGATAAAATCTTTGCTGGGAATTTCAAACTTGCTGTGGGAATATAAAAGCAATGGTGCTGCCCATAAAGATACTCGGGTAGCTGCAGGAATTCTCTCTCGCAAGCTTCTGTGGCGGAGAATGATCTTTCAAAACAACAACAAAAAAATTGAGTTGTAACTTTAGATCTTTAAGATTCACTTTTGCCAAACAGCTTCTCATGTTTTGTGGTTTAAGATATCAGTTTCAGGGCTAGAGACAGCTGGTTGCGGAGCTCCACGGCAAGTCCCTGGCGGTGCAATATACAGCAAATACTGCCCCTGGTGTTTCAGAGACAGAAATACAGTAAATCCATCCTTCAGCTTTTTAAGTTTTGTCCAGAAAACTGCTGAATGCTACCCACCCCTGGACACCAATATCATTTTTGGACTAGCTGGTTGTCAGTTTTCTCGTAAGTAAAAGGTTCTTAACCTCACTTGTGATTTGTATCAATACTAAATGCACATGATAAAACAGTAACATAATAATGTAAGGGTCCTGGAAACTTGTAACTTTTTTCTCTGTGGACATTAATTTGTGACCTTTTGAAGTCACCCTGTAATCTTACGTGAACTGTCATCCTTGGGGTTTTTTTCTGTGTGAATTCACCACTGCTGCTGAAGGTCGAAGTTTCTTAAGTCAGCAGCCCCTTCCAGATCAGCAAAGCACTTACTTGTGCTGGGTTCACAGTCAGGAATTCTCACCATAGAAGTCCCGTTGTGTTACGAACTTTCCAAAAATGGAACAAAAAGATCGTAGTGAACCTTTGTCACTAACAGACTTGAGCACATGCTTAAATCTAGGCACATGCTTAGTTCATCTCCAATTAGAAATCACCTATCAAATAAAAGTTATATTAACTCTATGGGAACTGCACATGCTTAATATCAAGGCTGTGCAGTGCTTTGCAAACCAGGGCCTTGAATTTTCAGTCATTCCCATGGTTTGTTTTCAGTAAGGGTTCTTAACCATTTTGAATGACTAGAGATATAAATACATTTATTTCCTGTGGTATTCCCAGCAAAGCATGCTGTTAGAACATACCGTGCACTTTGCCTGGTAAATCAATTAACTTTGGAGTAAAGTCTGTCTACACCTGAGTCAGTTTTCTTGTCTTAAATTTTGGACACAAAGCTTACGCGTTACTACTGTGTACAAAGTGTAAAATAAACAACCTTGAACACAGAGCGGTGTTTGAATTAAGAATATGAACTCTACAGAGATCTAAAAAAACTGTCCACATCCTATTTTACAAACAACAACATATATATATAATCATGATATATATATATATATATGTAATTCATTGCCTAGAAAAATACCAAAATTCACATAAAATATTTAAGGAAGTACAGCCAATGAGGGAGGTATTATTAGTTTTTTTAAGTACTAGTCCACATATTTCTCATATTTTTCCTGGGCTGGTAGATCATATTTTCTTATATTCTTTTGTCTCACCTCTAAATACAGATTAGAGATAGGTACTGCTCCAAATAGAATCAGTAACTCTATACTATAGAGTGTGTTTGCTGTGTGCTTGATATTTCTCTGGGAGCGATACCGCATTTACATGTGTTTAGCTAACACACCCACTCTGTTTATCCAGAAAGATTTAAAGAAGGATAAAACTACAGACATTTATTTATTCAAATAAAAGTAAACTAGAAGAGTTAAGCATGGGAATTGCCTGTAACTGCCTGCTGAAGTACTAGAAATAGCTGCTTTTGGAAAGAGGAGAAGCCTTCACTTGACACTGTCAGCTAGTGAAGTTCACCATACTACTACTTGATCCACCGATGACTTTCTTTCAAAAAATACAGGACAAGGAGACAAAAATCACTTTTCACTCTTCACTGTAAGAACTGGACACAGAATGCAGACTGAAAAGGGCCTTCTCTCCTAGGAGCACATCACATTGGTAGGACTGTTCTCGTGCATACGTACACGTGAATTTTATCATTATCATAGTCTCAGGTTACAAAACTTAAACTAGCGTAGATTATTTAAACATTATAGGAACTGAAGTAATTTTCAAGTATGCTCATTTATCACCTGCTCCAAGTCTAATCAAATACTGATCTCTCTTCATTGTTTCATTAAGGCAGGTAGTTTATCGTAATTAGAGCTACTAATTCAAAAATTAACACTAAAGACAGTTTAAAATGTCATATCAGAACAAATACAAAATCATCTCACTTCCTACCTCAACTCTAAGCCTCTAATTTAAAAAAGGAAGTATGAAAGACTGATCAGATTTCTGACTTCTCTCACCATTAGATATTTCCACAGAATTTTTCTATTACAAATATTTTTATTGCTGTTACACCCAAAAGCTTCATTAGGTAAGAGTCCTCTTTGCACGAAATACTGTAAAAGGATTAGCATTTCCAGTCTGTCCTTGAAAATCTGACCTAAATTTTTTCATAAGTGGCTCTTTAAACAATTTTTACATTTCCTGTTGTAAAGACACACATGTAAACACGAAGCAACGACACTTCACGTTCTGTCTTGTGGAAACTCTTCAGGTAAAGCAACAGCCACAAAAGTATTATCACTTCCTTTAATCTCAGTGAGATGAATACCAAAATCTAAGTGAGCCTATATACAGACAAACATTATGTCACTGCTTTGCCAAGCCAGATCAAATGCCAGTTTCCTACTGAAATAGAAATCACTGATGTCAATTCTAGGCATTTTCTTAGTCCCAATAGTGATGTCATAGACAAAATTAGTAAACCTAGGGAGGCACTTTCTTCCTAGGACTTTTGTGACCCTGTTAGAGAAAGAAAAACAAGCGATCTGGAAAAAAATTGCATTAGGCATATGAAAGAAGTAGGTAGCTCAGACTTTTTAGTTGAACAAAGAGGAGCTTAAGAGATAAGAAAAAGGGTGTGGGCTGTGGTAAAGATCCAAGAATGAGTGCAATTAATCACACAATAATTTGCCAGCTTTAATTTTCAATCAAAATTTATGTATTCTCAATACATTATCATTACTCAGCAAGTCAAAATGTTCCAACTTTTTTTTTTTTTTAATTTGCTAGCAATCAGTTTACACACTGTGAAATGAGAAATTGACCATTCATCTTGATGGCAAAATTTTAAAATAAGTATCATACTTTCCTCTAGAATTTTCAGAAAATACAGAAGATAAGAGAACTGAAGAATGTTGGGAATGTCTGAGAGAGCAAATTCCATTATGTGGTACAAAACCCATTCATTTTAAAACCGTTTTCATTTGCAAGAATAAAGTTACACCAAACAAAATTGTTATTTTAGTATTCAAGGGAAGCCAACAAGGATGTAGTATGGTATCTTTCTGCTAACAGAAAGAAGTGGGCATCAAAACCTCATCTTTCCTAAAGGTGATGTGTTTGAGACTGATTCCTGAGAACATTTAAGTTGACGGATGCGTTTCCACCAACATTCCCAGAAGAACAGGGATGGTGAAGGAAAAAGAATAGAAAACAGAGTTACTTGCAGCTTTGGTAACCAGGGAGACAGGTATACATAAAATTTCAGGATATTTACATATCTAACTGACAGTTAAGGTATAGAAATAGTGTCTTCAACCTAGGTTTACATGAGAGCGAGTGTCAAGCTGTTTATTGTGATTTTTCATTCTAGTTTGAAAATCTTGTGTATGTAATAATAAAATCTCTATATAAAAAAAAAAACACAGAGGACTGACAATGTTAGCTCACCCTAGTCTCTTAAAAATGCACTGCTGAATTTCAACCTGTTAAAAATATAGAAGTAATTCATTTCTTACAGTGAAAGCTGGCACAAGAGTAGCGAATGACAAATCTAAATTACAGCTCCAATAGAAAAACACCAACAGAATTTCACCATTATGCAGTATATCTGGCAGTAGTTGCCTAGCCAATCAGCATACAATCTCTGTTCCTGATAGGGGGGCATAATGAACATGGGGAGTTATTATAGACAAATCAGTAAGAAATAAGACTTCATTAGTTTTACTTCTGAAAGAGCAACTTACTAGAAGTCTAGAGTGCTAACAACATCTTTCCTTTTCAAAGTTGCTCAGCCACAAAAGCCTAGTAAGTGTACGTGCATACAGCAGGAGGTAAGAACACTTCTGGATTGCATTCAAAACCCTATGCCCCACATCTTCATCTACGTTCTAATTAATTTTATATACAGCACAAAATATTACTTAGCTCTTCTTAACTCTTCAAAAAGCTACTTCCCTGGCCCCCAAAACTATGATTTTGAATTCATGCAGCTCGGGTACACTGGGCATTGTGATCCTGAGTAACTCCTACTTTCTGTTGTCAAGATACGGTGGAAGAATTCCTGCTTATCTTGCATGGCTACATTAGTCCATTCTCTTAATTCTTCCCTTACTGCAAGTTGTTGCCAGAATCTTTGGAGAACATGAGTTCGATATTTAAAATCTCAGTAAGTTGCCTCAGCTGCTTATCAGAGACAGCACAGCAGGCCCAAGTATTCCTCTGGAAGGCTAACTCAGATTCGGTCTGTATGATGCTTATAACGTGACTCATCACCTGCTCACTAGAAAAGAGAAAAGACTGTTTGTGCTGCAAATGTAGTCAGGACTGCACAGTATTTCCTCTGTTGCCTTGCAACGGTCTATACTGATTCCTAAAGGGGGAATAAGGCTTTGCACTTGGCTCCTTTCTATCATAATCATAATTCTAAATGCTTGGACTTACTTGCAAATTTATAACACGCAAGAGGGAAGATACGATGCAAGTCGTATGTTCTTGTATAATATAGTTTCATGGTTCCAAATATTCCTACTTCAAAAGGCTGCAGCACCTTCCTTCTCTGCAATGCAGTTCAACATAAATAGGCAGAGATTTTATTTCACAAATAAACAGCTATTTAGATGCTATTTTTAAATAAAAAAGGAAATTTAAAGTGACATATGCATTAAGATTAGAAGAAATTATCTGGTAAAACTTCAAGTTATTATTGACAAACGTGAAAAAAGAGATACAGCATATTCTTCAACGGTAATTTACAGACATACAGATTTAAGTATAATACAGCCTAAAAGGAATCTTGAAGATCAAGTAGGGACACTGCATGTAGATAAAATGGGCCATTCAAATTTTTACAAAACCTCTTCCAAAGGTCTGCATGACTACTCAATCCATTTTCTCTTCTTGGAAACTATCTGCATTATTCATGTAGTTTTCAAGATCATCATATCTCTGCAAATAAAATAAATCCTGTATTATTTTATCCAGGTTTAATAATGGAATTAAAGATTGCATTTAGTGTTTTTCTTCAATCCATAACTAGAATGCCAATAACAGTTCAGAAGCAAACATATGTGAGGGCTTGCTAAATGCAACCGTACTCCATGTTGTCTTAAAGTAGTCCATGAAGTGTTTTTGAGCAAGTCAAAACACTTGAACATAAACAGCAGAGTAAAACATTCTTGCTGAACCTCCTGTTAATTTATCCGGTCTTGATAAATTACGGGTTGCGCTTGTCGCGTTGTTGCTTTCAAATGGAACAGACACTGTGCCGCTGCAGAAAAGCTTAATGTCGTAAGTCAACAAAGTCTATGTGAAAACAGTGGCATACCACTGTTTGAGAGACTGGGCCAGCATAGCTGGATGAATGGTTGAACTAAATTATTATTATCAAAACCTAACAATTCAAAAATGATTCATCAATTAAGCCAGAAAATTCATCTCAGCTGGCTTCCTTTTATCTACTGCAAAAGGATACATCAAATAACTCAGTCATACCTTCTGAATCCATCCACTGCCGTCCAACTGGCTGAAAAGCCGCTCTACTGTGTCTTTGACTGGTTCATCCTCAACATCATCCAACTCAGCAACAGAGCTGCAATCCACGTACAACTTGTATTTGAAGTGCTTCAAATCATGATAAACTCTTGTACGATCTGCACACACTGTGCCAACCTTCAAAACCTAGAGCAAAGTGAACAAATCATTTTCTTAGAACAGTGATTATCTCGACAATCTGAAGAATGGCTAAAGTCACTCTAGTAAGATTTTTCTGAATAATGAAATAAACAGAATGACACTACGTGCATAAGAATGGAGTAAAAACACGTAGTTTTCACAGTCATGGCAGAACTATTTTTGAACAGGCAGATAGCCAACAAGTCTATGCAATCGCAGCTTATCAGCACTGTTTTCTTGCAAAAGCTGCACACAACTACGTTTATAAGTGGTAGTCTTTCATCTCTGTAATCTCCTGGTGGAGCTTTGTAACAAAATCACTAGCATTTTAGAAAAACAGCATACTGTGAAAGCAGAGGAAGACAGATTATTTGATGACTTTTGTTTTAGATGTAATACATTTACATGTAATACTAGGGACATAAAACACCAACTCTAGCATTTTGTAGACTAAATAATACACAGTCTGGCTTCAATAAAAATAAAAGATGAAAATTTAGGTTTTATATAATACAAATGTTAGTCTGTAACGTTCTGGGAAGTACAGCTAGTCAATAATGCTGCAGAAACCAAAGCCTCTGCATCTCCCAGTTATTACCAGTTTTAATTCCACAACCTTCACGCACAACACAGAACTGTTTTATTTAACAGTTTTCTTTATAGCAGTGTTTATATGTAAAGAAATGTAAATACATAACTAGAGCATGGATTACAGTAGACATATAATCAGCAGTAACATTAAATACAGGTACATATTTGGACATATTTTAACCTCAGATTTTATAGAAAGATGTCATGCAGTGAAAGTCTTTACCTTAAAATACTAATAATATATTGGTTACAAGAATCTTCTGCAATCTTAAGTCTTCACTAAGAATATGTGAAATCGGGCATGTGAGGAGGGAAATGGAGCCAAACTTCCTCTGTATTTAAGGACATCTTGCATTTCACAGAAATAAATTTTGTATCATTTCCACAAGAGAAGAAGTTTAAATACATACAATGGCAAATCAGAAGAGGAATCCATCCCCTGTAAATGACCCAGAGGTGCACTGATTACTACTTCAACCCATAGATACAATAAAGCCTATCAGGTAAGAAATCTACATCTGGCTGGTTTTTGGAGGTCAGGTTTCCTCTTCCCCTGCTCCCACCCCACAAGGCAACAAAATTAGTACATCTACATAAAGAAATGCAGCTCTTGATACATACAGGAGAAACTGATTTAGTGTTACAGTCCTCCAAGGGCAGCATCATTTTGGATTGAGTTGTTTTTGTGAGTAAGAGGGAGGTAAATGGCTAAAGGTCAAAGTTCCTCGATCAGTAATGCAAGCTGAGATTTGATTGCTATTTTAGATTTAACTAACCATATTATATAGTTATCCATAGTATAAATTGCAAGATTTTATCTTCTGAAACACAAAGGTAGCACCTTTTATTGCTGCCATTGGTAATAATCTGAATAATCTTTTAAAATATGAGCAAGTTACATTTTAATTAACACTTACACCTCAAATTTTCTGTAAGCTTGTAATGCATGACCAAATTGCATCAGTAAGCAGTCCCAAAAAAACATGTGACCTACTTGTACAACCTGGCACTAGTAGTAACTATTTTGTTGGCAATGACAGTTACAGTAAAACATATTTAGTTTACAAAAGAAGTCTGATCAATTCTTAAATATATTAACTAGTAGCTCAGCTGATACAAACAGGTGTAATATCATCAAAGTCAATGGAAACACACTCACTTAAAAAGCTTTTCATCTAAGCAACAGCAAATGAATATTAATTGAAAGTTAAATTGGCTTGAGATCAAAAGTTGCTATTACTACCGTTCAGCTCGCTAATGATTACATATATGTACCTAAATGCAGCCCTGTTTTCATACCCACACCAAAACTGAAAAGCTAAGGCTTATGATTGGCACTATAGGTACTTCTGAGGTGCAAGACATACCCACCAGTGCATAACCTTGATTTATTCATGTTTCCAGAAGTACAATTTCAAATACCGAAACAATCAAGAACTGAACTGTGGTGTTTCATAGAACATTTGAGAACCTTTCCAGTATCCCAAGCAACGAGGTGTAGTATTTGGAACGTTATTTGACCTACAATAGGAGCTACCATTCTGCATTAGACTGAAAGTCTGCCTGGCTCAGTTCTTCCCTTTGAAAATAGCCAGCAGGAGATACTTAGGAAATAAGTATAAGAAGCAGGTCAAACACAGGATGATCATGACATTACTAGCACTCCACAGTTAAGACATTCTGTATCATCCTGGCTATCATGTTCCACAGCATGGAAGAAGCTTCCCCAAGAACCTGTCTAATCCCTTTTGGGACCCACTTGTACTTTTGGCCTCCAAAATATCTTGTGGCCATGAGTTTCATCGTTTATTTATGGACTAGGTGCAAAGTGTTTCTAGGTTGGAGAAGTGCCAGAGGAAAACAGTTAACTATCACATAATCTTATTATGCATTGTGCTTTTAAAGCAAGAAAGATTGTCTAAAAATACAACGCTATTTCAGAATGCAGCTTTGGAAAGAATCTCAGTACTGTACTCATTCTAATTTTTTTCCCTTCACATTTCTCATTGACTGTATCCTAATGCTTAACTTATCTACTCAAGCTGGCTGCACCAGCCAAAGTTGTGTTAAATCACTTTATATGGAATGCGGGAGCGTAGCTTAACAGTAGTACAAAATGTAATGACTGAATTCATGTCCTTTAAGCATAGCTATAAGGGGAAATAGAAAATCAAGACTGAGAATAGAAAATACAGTGCACAATACCGGTGACACGGGCACCAAAAAGCATATAGACACCTATAACTGGACTGCTCAGTTCTCTCTGACTATGGAGGGATCAGAATCGGCAGCTGCGCACAGAACAATCTTTGGAAGCCTAAGCAAAACTGGAACAGCTGTTTCTCTTCAGGCCTACTGGCAAAGCAGAATACTTCAGAGATGAGAGAAAAGGAAAACTTTATGCAGAAGAAGAGAGTTGGAGGTCTGTTTTTGTTCTCTCACCATCTACTTCTCTCAGGTATTTTCAAATAAAACTTTAGAAAGAATCTAGCCGTGTATTTCCATCCAATTTGATCCATCAGTGCTGAACGGTCTTCTCTTTCTGGAAGTGCCAGTTTCACATAACTCCACTTACCCTCCCCCTTCTTTTTTTTTTTTTTTTCTCTCAACTGAAAGGACATGTTGATCAATGCATTGCCAGCAGAAATTCAAAGACTACTTGAGAACAGAACCTTTAGCTGGCTAAATTACAGGTCACTACAGGAATATGAACCTTGCATAAGAAAGACACTACTAAAAATTACCGCAGATTGCTCTCTCCTCTGGGTCTGTTCTACAGCCTCTGAGCAATACTGAGCATGCACATAGCTAGCACCCCAACATATGCTGGGCTATCCAGACTAAAAAAAATTCTCGTCTTCTACTCTTGAGCAGAAAAGGAAAACAATGAACTAGCAAGTTAACTTCAAAATTTATAGGACATTTCAAGATTTTTTTTAAAGTGCAAAATAGCCAGTGCTTTATGCGGCAGAAAATACGGACAGCAGCGAGCGGACGGTTGCTGTTATTTCTGGGGTTAAACTGAAAGTTGAGTAAAGATTAAATTCTTGTGCTATTTCACTTACTATTTCTGCTTAGGTGAGGCACATCTTTCCCACGAAAATCTGATTTATAAAGTAATGAACTACATTACAGATCCAGACGTAAGGAAGAATAATGACTATACGCATGAACAGTATGTATGGTGTACTGCAGTATTAGTACCAGGACAATTTCAAAGCCACCTTGTCTCCCCACATCCTAAGGACCTACTGTTTTCCTTCAACAAACTAGGGGAAAAGCCTTGCTGGAATATCCTAGCCCTGTTAATTTTCATGCACATGCAGAGTCATCAAAATTGAGAATTAGCAAGTAACGCTCATAAGTTTTTGTAATCTGTTTAAGAGAACCGACGGCACAGATTTTTCTAGATTATGCATTACGCATAGAGGCTAATATGACGACGCCATAACGACAGTCACACTGACATTCCTCAGATCTCTCAGCTGGAATATTTACAGGGATGCAAATTTGGCCTGAGCTTTAGTAAGGAGAGTTTCACCTTATTGTTATGTATGAAGTATTGTTATATCCCATTCCAAAACATGCTATGAATACATATTGTGCTAACATTTTTTTTTTCTAGGAAATGCTATGAAGAACTTCAGCTGTATTCAAAAATTCTTACTCATACAAAGCAAAGGATTTCACCTGCTACACATCCTTGAAAGGGAAGAAACTCGTAACTTGCATAATAACTTGGGATACAACTGCAGCAATATTTTGTACTTGACAAATTGTGTGCATTTTGAGTTTATACTAAGAGGTGATGAACATCCAAGGTCTTAAAATTCAAGATTTTCAAAAGTCTCAGTTGTGAATTACAACAAAATTGACCGCTCATTCATCTAAAGCGACTGCCTAGTGCAACATTACCTAACAATCTGAAAGATGTTTTTCATTCAGAAAAAAAAATTCAATTCACAATGTCCTGGTAAAGACAACGGACAGAGGAGGATGCAAGATTGTCTGAACAGAAACACTTTCCAATTTGGATAAGTTGTTCTGATAATGCAGCAGTGAAAAAAAGGCCCTAATAGAACATATTGTACTACATTAAGAACAAGTCTTCTCAAAATAAGATTAACAATTTATAGTGTCAATGCAACTGAGATTTCAAGATACTTTGTCCTGGGTGCATGGCTACATGGGAAATAGCAGACATGAAAATGTCTAAGGAAGGAAGCAGTAAATCCTGACAAGGGCCACACTGGGACTATGAGAATTTCTGACAGTGGCATTACTATGCTTAATCTAGGGCAAAGGAGAACAGATGTAGTGCACGCACACAGGCTCCAAATTCTAGAGTAGTAGGCATAGAATTAGAAAGCCTACTGACCCTCTAGAACAAAACTTATTTGCAGCAAGGTAGAAAACAAAATCATTCAATGGAGATGATGGTCCATTATACAGAAAGCTACTTTTGCAACACTTCTGAAAGCTGATCAATGCAAGGCTCCTGTTGGGAAAGCCTTAAGGGCATTATAGGCACACACAAAGGTGAAGGGCTTTCCAGTGATGTAATTTAAATGGAAAAGCATTCTGGTATCTAAAATAGATGTAAACCTAAAGTAAGTGTCATTCCTCATTTAAAGCATCAGATTCCTGGCACAAGGAAATAGGATCTATTTAAGACTGGGGGAAAAAAAAGTCATAGCATTTCGCAGGTATTTGGTAAAAACCAGGAATGTTTAGAGCGTTGCTCAGTTTCTTTAGTATGACAGCTGATTTTTGCTAAGATATGCATCCTCTATTAATGCTCTCTGACAAAAATCCTACTTTAGAAGTAACAGATGAGTGCTTGCACTAGAACTTAGGTTAGTATGTGAATCTTCATGTGTGCTGTTAGCCTGGTTGATTTCAGGCTGCCTCCTCACCCACCTCAAAGGACAAGCGTGCTGAGTCACATGTGTGTAGGATGCTACTTATGTAGTTCCCTTCTCGCTCTTGATGAGACTCAGACTGTATATTTGAAACATGAGAAAAATTGAGGCAAATGTCAATTTTGATTTGAAGGCAATAGTTATCAATGAACCCTATCACATTTTTGAAATCCTTTATCTTTTTTATCAAAAGGTTCAGCTCATGGTTTAAAACACTTGCTACTACTCCCTGCAGTACAAGTACATGCGCTATAACAGGTACTAACATTAAGTGACAAGACTGGGGAGGAAACAGCACCCCAATCATTGTGATGAAGGCAAAAAGAAAGGCCATAGAAACGTATCAAATTTTTTTTTTTTTGATAAACTTCAGGTTTATTTGAGGATACTTTTTGCAGTCTCTTCTCCAAGGGGTAAGGGGAAGGTGGAGGAACACCTCTATTCTTCCTTCTATATTTCACAGGAAGGAAATCCTTCCTTCCTTCCTTCAAAACCTACTTCCTAGCCAAATCAAAGACTATACTCCTCCAAACTGCAAACCGGTCCTCACATTTGAAAACTGAATAGAAATTCAGACACAGAAGTATAGTAACTCAACCCTTGCCTCTAACATTACAGATATTAGATATGTTGACGGGATTTCTATTCTTCATATGATTTCTTATAACATTTGACAAAGTTTAAAAATAATTATATAGGGTGCTTGTCTGAAGTTACCTGTTTGTCATGTGACATGAAGTCATCTGCTTCCAAAGTTCTACTGTTATAAAGCTTTCCAGACAGCAACACATCAAACTTACAATACCGATTCAATTCACAAGCCTGACAAGACATACTTTTTGGATTTTTCATTATTATGCGAACATCTGGGTAACAATCCACACGCTCCTGAAAAATAAATTTCAAATAACATTAAAGAATCTCCATAGTTAAAGACTGACAAATGCCTGAACAAGCTGCTGAGTACCCTTCATTGCCACAAAATTAGTACAACAGAGACCAGAGGGAATCGAATCCAGTCTTTCAGAATTCAGTTCCGAATATATAGCTTCTCAGTCATTTTCCAACACTGCACCCAGTTGTACTTCAATTAATTTTTTATTCTTCTCCAGAACTAAAAAACGGTTCCTGAATCCAGGCACTTATTTCTTTCTTTCTTTCTTTTTTCTTTTTTGGCAATTGTATCAGTTGGTCTACTTCACATAAATATGCATCTCTACCCTAACTATACACCATTATTAGAGTGATCTTTAGATTACCATAGCTAAAACACTAATACTATTCTATTAATTCACATACAATAACTAGATTACTGTATACTAGCTTCACATTTTTGAGGTTGTAGAAGGTTCATTATAATGTACTGATTTATCTTGGGGTGGGGGGGAGAGAGCAATTTTGTTATAACAGTAAGTCACAAAAAATCCTCAAAAAGGAATCTACTAAGTTAGCAGGAGAAGCATTCACGTAACTGAGAAAAGAATCTCAGTTACCTGAATGTTTACCTGATTATAATCACACAAAATACTTCTGATATTCGTAAGCATAACAACAAGGCACATAAGGTAAAGAGCAGTGAGTCTGTTTAAAAAAAAAAAAACAACAAAAAACATAATTATGGTGATTACAGTACCTTGACTGAGAATTAGGGAAGTGCATGGAAATATCTGTCAGCAACAATACGATCTAGAGCACACTTCACTGATTAAAGTGGAAGCTACATACCTTATATCGATCTTTCCAGCGACTTCGAGATACTAAGTTCTCGAGACGAGGCTGAATGAAGCGGTCATCCAAATAATGAAGTGAGGTTAACATATCTTGTGCATACTTCTTTTGTCTTGTTCCATCTGTTCAGTGAGAGTCATTACTAATTTGCTGACCATCTTAGATTGTACGTTTCCTCAAAAACTTTTTCAGGGACATTATGATTCTATGTACAAAGAACTATGGATGACTTCAATAGGTTATTATTGAATACATTTACTACTCATTCAAGTGGTCCATGCATCTTTAATAAATGGATACATTTAAAAGTCTGTATCGCGAGAGCTACACAAAGAAACTCTGCAATCAAGGTCAAGGTGAAAAGCTGTCATCCCAAATGCAGAACCATTTGCTCAATCTCATTCAAAAGCATGGAAAAGGAAAAAAAATATTCTTGCCTTTTGTCCAGTTTATAAAGGGTGTTTATAACGTACAAGGTAGGAGGTTGCAATCAATGAAAACAAACTGCTCCGAGCTGCTTTCCAGCAGAAATTTTGACAATTCTTTTCCCTTTTTTCACTTGTAAGGAACACAGAGACTGAAGTTTGAACTTCAGCAGCACTGTTAGATGCCTATAGTTAGGCAGCATAAATACTTCCAAATACCCAAGCAAAAGAAATAAGTGAGTATGAAAATGACTAAAATTACCACTCCTCCACAATTGTCTCCCAAATATGCGCTGGACTCCAGGAGCTAAACAGAGGTTTCACAGGTTTAGGCCGAATCTCATCAACATATACTGTCCAGGGCTTCAGCATGTACAGACATGCAAATTAAGTCAGTTACCTTCCCTAGTCTTTTAGCAATGCTGTTATCAAAGAAACAAAATAAAAAGGACCACGAGCGAGTGGTCCAGCTTTCTATTTAAAACCAGCTATTTTTAACTACCATAATTACAATTTTTTTTTTTCCAAATATACCTTGCACATACAATTTCAGTAAAAGCCAGCTATACTGAAAGCTTGAGGAGGCTGTGCTAGACCATAAACGAATCACAATAAACAAATTCACATAAAACAAATTTACAAGAAAAAGTAAGCTTGAACTGCAATGGCAAACTAGCCGCTTTTAATTCGAACTAAAAGGTTTACTTGCAGGACTCAAAAAATCCATTCTGTGTTCTAAAAACATGTCACTGTAATGCTAGGCTATGCTCACAGTACATAACATTCTTCAGAAAGATACAACACAACCTCCAACCATCCTTACAGCTGATCTGCTTCCACCTTAGCTATAAGTTGTCAGTCTTGTACAGCAGATACAATTTGAAATAGAAAAAAGCTATTACAACATAAATCTAGTCACAAGATTTTATAGTGAAATTTACCTACTATACTTTATAATCTTGATTTCACTTGCTAAAAAAACAGAAGAAAACAAAACAAAACAAAAAACACCTGAAAGAAATAGTAGTGGTAGATGAAAGACATTTTTAACTCCAAGAATACACATTTTCTGTAGGAAGATTTCCAGTTTATAGTGTGCACTTCAGTTTTTCCATTCTCCCTTATTTCCTGATAACACCAACAACTCCTCTGTCTGGCATTCAGCTGACTCCTTCCACAACCTGACACTGACAGTCCCCTCATTAATCCCATTGCTATGGTGTTTCTGAAGCTATGTGTAAAGTTGTCAATCAGCACCACTAGGTCAAATGCCAAAAAACATCTCCTCAGTAAGAACAAGCCAAGGAGTACTGATTGTAGCTGAAACTTATTTCCCTTACCTCAAAGCATAAATGTTTAGAAAACAATAGATTCAGATATGCAGTAATATTTATAACTACCATTATTTATTTTCCATCAAATTCCTCAGAAGAAGCTACGAGGCATGAGACATTCTGAGAAATCAGTTGAACTCTGCAAGGCTTCCACTGAGATATGTACTTTGAAGTTAATTGTTCCTTCATCCCGGAACTGTTACTACTGCTCAGTAACACAGAAACATTTCCTTAAGTCTCAGAGTAACTTCTGGGCTAAAAAGAATCAAGTCCATATACTTTTCCAAGATTACCCATTTCAGATAAGATTTTCCCAAGGTTACACAGACAAAACTAAGAACAGACCTCAGGAATTTTAACTCTCAATCCCATACTCTAATCGTTAGGCATATCTTTTCCAAGAATAACTGCCTTTGTCCATATAACTTTACACACACTATTATACTATTTAATGTAATATACTTACCATATAATGAGTTCAGAAAAGTGTCATCAATTGCATTTATGAGGAAGGCCTTTACTATTCTTTGGAAGTGTACGTAATGACTACAGCGAGACACTGGGAAGAAGGTAATAAAATCAGGAAAAAAAAGTTAATAATGATAAAATTCCTGTAAAATAAATACTTTTTTCATTAAATTATTTGAGAATTTTAAAATCTTTTAAACGTGGATTTTAAAATAATTTTAATACACAACATCCAAATGCTTATTTAAGATCCTGCTTTTAAATCCTGCTTTTCCCCTCAATGATCCCAAAGACCCCCAAAGAATTTCAGCATGTCCTAAAGTCCCACGTGTCCTTTCATCAGGGAGGAATGCATAGTAAGAAACTTTTACCATCAAACACTGAAAGAAGAGAATAAATTTTTCAAATAACTGCAGGAAATACTGAAATCCAGAGAAGGCCAGGCTTATGGGTTTTTTTCTTAACTTTCTTTCAAATAAACACAATTCTGCTCATGTTTTTACTGGGGAAAAAATACCACAAATGCCTGTGACAACCTATGCTTCCATGGATCAGTACATTTTTTGCTTCTAACCAACAAATTATGTAAGAAGAGAGTTAGTGAAAAGTTCTAGTTCGAGTCTCTCTCCTCCAGCCAGATATCAATTTTCACAAAAGTTGTAGCAACCTGATCATCTTGAAAAAAATTCTCTCTCTGTGCAGTTTGGATGAAATTAGCCAATGGATTCAAAAACTCCCAGCGACCTGTGCTCCTAAGTCTCACTTCCATAAAGTAAAAACAAACAAACAAACAAACAAACAAGGCCCATAAAACCCAAAATCAGAACTCCTGATAAAGTAAAGAATGCTATATGCAATTAAAGTGTCAATGAGAATTTTAGGTCACTCCCCAGAACAAAATTCAGATAGAATTAACAGAGCTGCCCTTAAGTGTAAAACAAGATGGAGGATGATCATTTTAGGTCTCAACAGGAATGATTACATTATGGGCAGCCTACTTCACGCTAAATTAGACGAACTCAAATATCTGTGTAATACGGTTCCCCACCCCCTGCAAATTATACCCTCCCTTTAATAAGACATGTAAGGACTGTAAAAGTTTACTGTGGAAAGTAAAATACTTCCAAGACAAATTAAAACCTTTCAGAAATTTCTGCTTTTAAGCTACCATACCCTACTACACAGTATTACTTTGTATTTACAATATATAAATATGTAATACAGCAATACAATCGACATGAGAATATTTAATTGTCACTTATTTTAATCTTACAGTGTGGGACGTAGTATGCCAGCAACTGGCTATTTGATACACCTAGCTCTTTCTGTTGTGGCTGGATTTCGCTCTTTATGTCTTCTGTGTCGTCATCACCTTCATCATCATCAACTATAAAATCTTTCATGCTATCGTCGTCAGTTTCACTATCTTCTGCTGGTGGGAAGGGCAAATCAGAGGGTGATTCCTCCTCTATTTCTACTTCAGCATTAGAATCCTAATCAAATTTTAAAAAAGATTTCAAAAGTAAATTAAGTATTGTCAACATTTGCACAACTTTATATACAAGATTTTTGACCTTCTAACACCATTTGTTCAATCAACAAGAAACAATACAGTTCCAAAAATGCATGATTCTGTACTACATGAATGTTATTCTCAGCTTTAAATCACTCATTTACATGTACTTTCAGTCTATCTGTAGGAATTAAGCTACCTTGAGATCCCTAAGTTACTTCAACAGGTATCTTGCTTCTTGATAAATATCACTTGCTAATCCCTTCACGTGTCTCTCCTTCACGGAAAAAGGGAGAAGTAATGTTAAAGACGCTTTTCCTTTCTGACTATGTAGGGAAGACAGATACCTGCATTCTAAGCTGCTTAGACATCTGAATGCCTGAAAGCGCAAATAAAAGGAAATTCTTAAATCCCCAGTGATGAAAGTTAAACTCAAGTTAATAGTGTCAACAGACAGCATTGTTATCATGTGAATATAAAAAAACCTGTTATATTATGAAGGAATTACTAATCTGTCATTAATAAAAATCAATACAAAATAAAAACCCCACTGACTGATCTCTATTAGCCTTCTTCCCCCACATTCAGAACTTTCACCAAATGAATTTCAAAGATAAAATGCAGACCTCACAACATTCACTATTATAGGATGTCCGAGTAGCTCTTTGTCTTGCAAGTTCTTTCAATTTTGCTAACACTTTCTCTTTCCTATTAGTAGAAATATTTTCTGCAAGGCAGTTTTTATCAGGTTGCTGTTCTTGGGAACTCTCATCTTCATCCATTATACAGTGGCGTTTAGCAAAAACTTTTCTAACAAGGATATCGCTGTCTTCACTTTCATCACTGTCAAACAGTACAGAAGTGCTTGGCCTTTTACGCTTCCCAGGCACGATGTGCTCATCCTCAGCATCCTCTGTTACTGCCCCGTTATGGCTTTTCTTTTCATCATCTGAAAGGCTATTCTTCACAATCGTTTCATCTTTTTCATCTACTTCCTCTTCTGATGTGGCAGATCCTTCATCGTCAGAGGTAAATGACGATTCTTCATCGCTGTCAAGCAAGATGATCTCCCTTTTAGTGCGTCTCCAATCAACTCGGGATTTGGATGCCTGCTCTGTTCCTCCCGTCTTCTTCCTTGTTTCATATCTTTTGGCAGCTGCTTTTATCTCCATTGGAAAGCTGTGAAAATACACCAAAACACACAAACCAGTAAAACACGGTACCTATTATATCATGTCATTTCAAAAAAGTTCAACAGTCTGCACTTTTTACCACGCACATCTATGACCTAATAATATGGATAGAGTCAAACAGAAATCAACACCAAACAAAGCAGCACGTACAATAATTTCAGGAGCACACACCTTACCCAAAACACGTATAAGAGCAAGGGTGCTCACCCCCTGCCCGAATGAACTAGGAAAGTCAGGATTGAAGTGCAGCTAAAGAACCCATCATCCCCCCCCACCCCCCAACACTGGAGGCTTACAGCCGAGGCAGAGAGCTGGACAGAGACCACTCCGCACAGGTTGGCCGGGCCT